TTGATAGAAATACAATAAACGAGCAAATAGTTTTACTATTGAAAAATAGAAGATCCTGTAATTAATTTGAATCGTCTGTGTTACTAATATAAAATAATAGATAGCATTTAAAATTTCGAGATTTTTATTTATTTGTTTGTCTTTTAATTTGTCTTCTTTTTTAATCATTTAATTTTTTCGTGTTTGTTATCGGTTACAACATATATATGTGTATATGTTGTGGCGCGTTGTAACAATTATTTATAAGGGTGTAATGTAAAAGAGGTATCTTTGCAATAACTTTAGTAAGCTTTGTCATTTGATTAGAACTTTGCTTTTTAAATACTTGAACGACATTAACGCGACATTTTTATTTTTACTTTTTTACGATGAATGCGCAACGCAAGCGCAGCATCAACGATGCATCATGCAGCACGGAGCATATAGTGCGATATTCACGGATCATTTCTGAAAGATGCGGTTTCGAAACATAAAATCATATCCTATAGTTGAATTGGGAGGGTCTCAACTGCCTACATTCCTATTTGCCAACAGCTTCGTTTGCCCACAACATTTTGCCGACAGCTTCAATTGTCGACATTCCCGATTGTCTACAGAGCGATTGCCTACAAGCATTATTGCGCACATTTAAAATTAAAAATACAAACGTACGTTTGCACACAAGACATTATTGCACACATACACATTGCACACATGACATTATTGCGCACATACACATTGCACACATAATATTATTGCGCACATACACAATGCACACATGACATTATTGCGCACATACACATTGCACACATAATATTATTGCGCACATTTAAATTAAAAATACAAACGTACGTTTGCACACAAGACATTATTGCACACATACACATTGCACACATGTCATTATTGCGCACATACACATTGCACACATGACATTATTGCGCACATACACATTGCACACATGACATTATTGCGGATATTCTTTCCATGCGAAACGAGGTTCAACATGGGTTTACAACTTTGTTTGTGAACCTTGGTTAACCTTGTTAGGTTTACCTTGTTAGGTATAACCTGAGTAGGATTTGTTATTTGTTTTACGCGGGGGAGAGGCTTCGCCCCTAGGGGCGAAGTCCTCCGCCGCCTACGCGTGAAATTTCAAACAAAGCGAGGTTCAACATGGGTTTACGAGTTTCTACACAAAACGCAATAATGTCATGTGCGCAATGTGTATGTGTGCAATAATGTCTTGTGTGCAAACGTACATTTGTATTTTTAATTTTTAAATGTGCGCAATAATATTATGTGTGCAATGTGTATGTGCGCAATAATGTCATGTGTGCAATGTGTATGTGCGTAATAATGTCATGTGTGCAATGTGTATGTGCGCAATAATGTCATGTGTGCAATGTGTATGTGCGCAATAATGTCATGTGTGCAATGTGTATATGCGCAATAATATCATGTGTGCAATGTGTATGTGTGCAATAATATCTTGTGTGCAAACGTACGTTTGTATTTTTAATTTTTAAATGTGCGCAATAATGCTTGTAGGCAATCGCTCTGTAGGCAATCGGGAATGTCGGCAATTGAAGCTGTCGGCAAAATGTTGTGGGCAAACGAAGCTGTTGGCAAATGGGAATGTAGGCAGTTGAACCCCTCTCTATTCTTTATATATGCTTATATGTTGTATCCTATGTTGTATGTAATGTTATAACGGTCAAATTTTTGTGTTTCAGCGATAATGGACAAGAAAAAGAGCGAAATTCAATCCTATTACAAAAACAAGACCATTTTTTTCACCAGCGCTTCCGGCTTTATGGGCAAGGTTCTCTTGGAAAAGTTGCTGTATTCTTGCTCGGAAATTGACAAAATTTACATCATTATACGAAGCAAGAAAGGTCACAACATCGATACTCGACTCAGCAACATATTTGATTTACCTGTAAGATATTGTGGGAATTCCATTACTTAATTTTAATCTTAAATAATTCATGATTTTTTAAATCAGGTATGAAACTTTTACAAATAAAAGTACACATTATGTAAATTAATAACAAATAATGGTAATAATTATTGATATTTCTATAGTTGTTTCAAAGAATTAAAATCGAGAAACCTAATGTCCTTCAAAAAGTGATACCGTTAAACGGCGACATAACTTCGGACAATTTGGGTCTCACTGAAGAGCAGCGAGAACGTCTGATAAACGAAGTACATGTGGTATTTCATTGCGCTGCATCTACTCGCTTCGATACGAAATTAAAAGACGCCATCGAGCTGAACACTGTAAGATATTAGTATTACAATTTAAAAAAATCAACGTCAATAATTCAAAGTTTCATTTGTTGCATTTGTCTTCTTTATGTGAAAAAAGTACTTTATTACTATTATTACACATTACGCTGATTACATTGTACATTTAGATTCTGTATTCATCAATTATACAGGGTGTCTGGCAATAATCGCCCCACCGGTCATATACAGGTAGAGGAGGTCAAATCGAGTAGAAAAGTCCTTTACCATTTTTTGATTTTTGAAATAAGTACTAAGTAATTAACGAAAAAAGATTGGTAAATCCGTGCAAGTAAAGCGCGCGCAGCGAGAAGGACATCCCACTGCTATGCGATCACTAGGCGCGCGATGAAGCGTTGGGAGGAGCGCTCTACAAATGACAATGGCAACATACGAGCGTAACGCTAGATCCTTGTGTCCTAGTGATCGCGTAGCAGTGGGATGTCCTTCTCACCGCGCGCGCTTTACTTGCGCGGATTCGCCGATCTTTTTTCGTTAATTACTCAGTACTTATTATGAAAATTAAAAAATGGTAAAGGACTTTTCTACTCGATTTGACCTCCTCTACCTGTATATGACCGGTGGGGCAATTATTGCCAGACACCCTGTATATACATGTGTCTGTGGTATGTATATGTGTTAAATTATGTAAAATATGTCACACATTTATACCACTCAAAGCATTCCAGACATTGAAGCTATCAAAATTTTTAAGATTTTCAAAATTTTTTTATTATAACAGTCTTACAAAATGTATTTGAACCTTTTTGATTTTCTTGACTCAAGCCTTTAACTCAAGATATTTTTGTACAATTTTTATGCTTTATCACTAAGTATTGCGACGTGAACTAGCCTCGGAATCACGCCAGATCCGAGGGAGCACGCCCAATGGAAATCGGTACTCGAGGCATCGGCAATAACTGCTCGACTCGGTAACTTACGGTATCAGAAACAGATGCTTAATTCGGTAACTCGCGGTACTCCACACAATTCGGGAGCAAGGTAACTCACGCGATAACGGAAACCGGAAATGGGCGCCAGGTGCGAATAATCGCACCGCGGTATCGGTAACTTTAATAGTTCTCAAAATTTGCTCGGCCGCTCCCCGCTCAGTATGGCAGAGGGGCGCAGTTCTTTTACTTAACGTAGATATCTGGAGTGAGAGGCGAACACAAGGACAACTCAATACTTAATAGTTAACAATAATGTATTTCCATAATTTGGCTTACAAGGTTAAAGATGTGCAGCGTTCGGCCTGAGCCGATACGGCGGAGACGGTTCAATGCGGTAGCAGGGCCGTTCGCCCAATTACTCGATAACAAGAATAAAGTTAGACAAATACGCGAAATCACGGAGATGCGATCACGATAGTTCGCCGCTGATCCGACTCTATCCGGTAAACACGGGACTTATACTCTGATCATTCGATACGGCCGGTGAAGGCCAAATAACAGACTTTAAGCGACGGGGCCTAACGGCCGGGACTGAGATGTCGCGGAACGGCTATTTTTCGCGGGCTTTCCCGTTTCTCGCCGAGACGCGAACTTGGCGGTAACCGCAATCTCGCGGAGAACGTTCCCGGATCAAAATCCGACCCGCAGACATTACACGGTACTTCCGGTACGGTGATAACGCGGCAAACGGTAACGGAGCGGTTATCGCAAGAAAACGGTAGCAATTCGGTTTTTCTTTTCTTTTAAAAGACGGTAACGGCAGGACGGTACGGTAACTAAACGAACGGTAACGAAACGGCAACGAGAAAAGACTGTCGGCGCTAATTCCCACAAGACAGAGAGACTGTTACGCGATATCCGGGGCCGGCTGGACATGCGGTAATTGAGCGTAATTGAGCGCTCACGATATCAAACACTACGGTTAATGTGAGAGACACTACATATTAAACGAACTCACGCTACCAGCCATCACCGGACGGAACTCTACGGCTACCCGAGAGGCGGCTTACAACGATTGGACGTCCTTGGCGTCTTCGGTGTCGTCGGG